GCTAAAAGCTGCTGATCTGGGGAAGGAGAGTCCAGGACTTTTGCCACAAAAAGATGAGCTGTAGTTCGCTTATGATTCTGCTAAGGATAGAGATGATAAATTATCATATTTTGAATAGAATTGAAGGATTGTTTTAGCCACAGTCACACCCTTGTCTTTGGCTACTGAAATTAAGTATTCTAGTATGGTATGGAAATTGTCTCCAAGAAGTGGTGTTATGTATAGATGTTTTCAGTGCAGATTGTGGTGGCCAACTATCTTCAAAAAGCAAAAAGTTTAGAGGTGTTAGCCACAAAAACGACGCTATTGAGAGTGGTCATCCTCCAATATATTCCGAGATTTGCACGCTTTATCCCTTTAGCTACTGAAGTTAAAAAGACAGCTGCTGTCTTCTCTGATAATGCACTCGTGGGTGCCACCTACTATTTGGTTTGGTACATGCTTGTTAGCCATGTAAGTCCATCTTTCATGAATTCACACATCTCATTATGTTTCAATATGAGTTGTCTGAAAAATGGAGTTATGAAAGAAAGTGTTGTGACTTACCAACGGATGCTGAGTTTAATGGCAAGGCTAGTTCCTCTAGCAAACTAAGGTTCAAATTCCATTGAAGGAGGTGCCCATATTTAATACCTAAACATGTCTAAAAAAAGGCTCCCTCCAATAGGAGGATACACATGAGCAATCAAAAAGGAAAGTGTTGTGATTGTATTGTGTTGTGTTTGTGTGATGTGACAGATAGTAGGGTCTGTGTGGTACTTACTAGCTATCGAACGAAATGACACGTGTTGGCAGAAGGCTTGTGCTGCTGCTGTTACTCAAGGATGTATTCCACATTTCTTATACTGTGAGAGTTCAAATAGGCGCCATCCTGGATATGAAGCCTGGAAAAATGTGAATGGGGATATTCTTGACAGGAATTGTGGAGCTGGGGGTGGGGTGAGGACCCACCATTTGATTATGGAATCTACACTCGTGTGTAATAGAGAAGGGTATTACTGCCTCCAGTGATATGTGGAGTAAATTCTTTCTATGTTCTGGTGGGGCCTTCAAAACGTCAGGTATATATATATGTTGTATGTATGTGTATGTTCATATATGTTCTTCTTCTCTTATTTTCATTTCCATTCATTTTGCTTCCAGAAAATATCCAGTGGTGTATGCTGCTAACTTTTTACTGACTAGTCCAAAACATGCTTAAACTTGACAGAAGCTTGTCTATTTAAGATGTTCCATGCTTTATTCTTCAAAAAGCATAATCATGGTGAGTAGGGAAAAACCGGGAACATGGCTTATATGAAATTTCATTATACAATAAACCCTGTTTTCAGTGTTTGAGATATGGAAATTCAGTATATAATGAACACTTTGAGATGACATGCCCACAACCCTGCATGATTTGTCCAATAAATGTAGTTATGTTTACTAAGTTGTTAGAGAATTCTACAGCTAATATTTAAAAGCCTAAGAACGTTTCGTTTTGTTTTCCCCAGCACACTTGGGCAGGGGCTTGACACGAGTACTTACATCGGGGAGGCTTTGTTTTCCATATTTATATGTATTTTGGGGCTTGTCCTTATGGCTCTTCTGATTGGAAAAGTGCAGGTAAGCAAAAGCTTAGCTTCACAGTTTTAGTTCCCTTATAAAAGGGCAATATGTAAAAATGAGACGATTTGGCTCAAAAGTTGCATGAAGAGTTCTAAGATTTGGGTTATGATGCAAATGAACAGAACTACCTTCAATCAATCACTGTTCGTCTTGAGGAAATGAGGATCAAAAGGCGTGATTCTGAGCAGTGGATGCATCACCGTGTGCTTCCTCAAGAGCTAAGGGAAAGAGTGAGACGCTATGATCAATACAAATGGATGGAAACTCGAGGAGTCGACGAAGAGAACTTGGTGCAGAATCTTCCAAAAGATCTAAGGAGGGATATCAAACGCCATCTTTGTTTGAACTTGGTTAGAAGGGTAAGTATACTCATGTATACCTTAATATTGGGAAGGTTCGTGCTTGTTTGGGATCCCAGACTGATTTTTGTGGCCTTAAAAGTCAGTTGGAGCAAAAAATGTGGTTTGGATCAACTTTTTGCCTAAAAGTCATTCTGAAGTTAGAGCAACTTTTCTTGGCTTTTGGCTTATGGCTCTTTCAAATTTGAACGTTTTAAAACTAACTTTTTAATATATCATGCAAAGAAAACATATCTAAACATAAATTACATTTTTACCTCAATTTCAGTTAATTACAAAAGTCAGTTAGAATAAAAGTCACATTTACAAACATTAACCCAAACAATCCCAAATAACCATCACAGTTCTGAACTTCTGTTTCTGAAATGTATTCCTTTTCCTCATCAGCTTTCTGTGTATGTCTAATCATATGCAGGTTCCTCTCTTCGCTAATATGGACGAACGCTTACTGGATGCAATTTGTGAGCGTTTAAAACCAAGTTTATACACAGAGGGAACATACATTGTTAGGGAAGGAGATCCAGTAGTTGAGATGTTCTTCATCATACGTGGTCGTTTAGAGAGTGTGACCACAGATGGTGGAAGAAGTGGATTTTTCAACAGAGGTCTTCTCAAAGAAGGTGATTTCTGTGGAGAAGAGCTTCTGACATGGGCATTAGACCCTAAATCTGCAGCAAACTTGCCATCATCTACAAGAACAGTGAAAGCTATCAATGAAGTAGAGGCATTTGCTTTGGAAGCAGAGATGTTAAAGTTTGTGGCTTCACAGTTCAGGCGCCTCCATAGCAGACAAGTTCAACAGACCTTCCGTTTCTACTCACAGCAATGGAGAACATGGGCAGCAACTTTCATCCAGGCTGCATGGCGACGGTATATGAAAAGGAAGATGATGGAGTCACAACTAATAGAGGAGGAGGAGGAGGAGATGGAGGATGAGGATGAAGACTATGGCTCAGATGACGATGGAAAAGCTTTGATTTCAAGAACTGAAAGTTCATCCAGGGCTGGATTTGGTTCAACCATTTATGCTTCTCGCTTTGCTGCTAAAGCCCTTCGTGGTCGTAAGCTTCGTTCTCTCCAAAAGCCTCCAGAACCTGACTTCAGTGTTTATGATCATAGACATTGATTCATTACTCGTTCAGCAGCTGAAAGAAAGTAATTTCTGTGTCGTCTGCCTGTCTTACCCTGTTCAAATGCAGAGAGATGAGAGTTTTAACTTGTATAGTAGAAGTGTAACTTAGTTTTTTGTGGCATGCGGGGCTTGGAGTATTGATAAACCTCCACCACTTTCGTTTCTGTAGGAGGTTCTGGTTACTCTGACGCTTGGAAGCTGTTTAATTGTTCATAGTATGCTCCTCTTGCGGGTTGTACATGTCATGTTCATTTTGATACTCTAAAAAAATGAACTAACACAAAAAAATAAAATAAAAAGCAGTTTCTTATATACCTTTTCAATTTTACGTATGCTTATAACCTGTTTGTATAAAAAATGCTTATAATGTGAGTCATGTAGATGTATGTTATATAACTAATCATACTATTTATAAGTCATAAATAGTACAGCTCATCCATAAATGTGTGTGGAGAAAATGTGTCCAATTAGTAAGCAAATAACTATTAGGAGTGCATAAGATAAAAATGCGCATATAGCATTGCATTGGGGTTGACTTTTCATATAAATTGGGTTGTATATTACATATGTTGACCGGATTTCCAGCAAATTGGTTCCGGGTTTTCTTGGGCACAATTGCTGGTGGCAGAAGTTTCAAACAACAAAAGAGGCATATGAAATATTACATCAAAGAATATACAAGATAAGAAAAGGTTGTGCTTTTGGAGAATACATAATCATTCAAAATAAGGTTGAGCGGATCCAGTAAGATCTTGAACCTGCTTCAGGACTATGATGCTCAACCCCGCCATGCAGAAGATGCTTCTAGCTCAACATCTTCTTCCCACCATGTGCTTGACTGCAGAATCACACAATAAAGGAACCAGATATGCAACTTATTCAGACATGAACAAGATAGGGTATCTCAACCCAATCCACTCAACGCACATGCCAACAGAAGCGAGAACAGCATCATATACAATTAAACCAAGGGAGAAGTGCACATAGTTCTTAGCTTTAATGCTCTATCATGTATGAAGAATAACAGTATTTTTTTTTTTTTGGCCAAAAGAATGACAGTATATTATAGTGCATAAAGTAACATTGTGTTAAGAACGGAAGAGCTTTGTTCTGGGGAAAAAAAAAAATTATTTATAATACTAAGCCGGCACTCAACTCTGAAGGCAATATGAACGATAGCTACTGTATCTTACTGCAAACACAAGGCAGGGTGGATCAAGCGCTAGCACACTTGAAATCATCATTTCACACAAGCAGCTAATTTAGGGCCACATTCTAGTTATAAGAAGAATGCCCAGGTAGGGCCATAGAAAGTGCAAATTTTACCCAGAGAGGAAATCCTGCGTTGAAATAAACAAATGACAGAGAAATCTAGCTACAGGCATACATAAAATTCTAAACGACAGATTCTTTATCAGGGGTAGACCTTGTAGCCTTTTCGAAGAAATTCTAGAGAGCTGCCCTCTTCCTCTTTAAGTCCTAGGACCCTCAACAATTCATCTTTGGCCTAGATCAGACAATAGATTAGCATGAAAGCATATAAAATTATAAAGAAAATAAGGTAAAGTCTATGAGCTTACTTCACCAAGGGTGAAGCGGGTTGCACTCTCAGCTACGCAAGCATAAGACCCATCTGCTTGCTTAAGCATCACCTGCCAAGGACCTTAACATATCATAAAGTTGAGGTCCAATGGTGTTTTTGTCAATGTCCAAAGAAAAAGGAGCAATAACAAACAATATGATCCAGGTCAACACTTGATTAAAAAAATATTTTGCCTACCAGGATACTGACGAAACAGTGCTCCACTGTAATTGACAATATAAGGAGCCACAGCAACTGTCTGAAGAATAGAATAAGTAAACAAGCAAAGCTCACAGTTGCATGCAGAATCAATATCTAGAGAAGATTAACCAAAGAGGTACCTTTGAATATTCTCTGATTCGAATATAGAACACTGGAGTAAATTGACAAAGAAATCGGTAGTGCAAATCTTTAGGTGGAAAGCCCAGAAGGCCTAAGTCAGCACTGTAAAGTCAATTGCAATAGTCTGTCAGTGATAAATGTATTTTAAGGATCCAGACAGATCAAAACTGAAAAAATGACAAGAAAACATACCGTAGGGTTTCTAGTTCAAGATTAAATAGAAGTGTTGGTGCTGAAATAGCAAATTTTTCCTGCACAATCCAACAAGTTACAGACTAATGGTTGATGATACGCATCATACTAAAGCAGCCTGCCACGGATGTAATAGATAATTAAATTCATTGAGGACTGTACAAATGTTTTGCTCTCAAAGTTGCCATACCACATACTGCTCTATGTAAGCAAGATCTCGCGTGCTGCAATTAATAAATATGTATAGCGTAGGAGGCTCACTAGACTTCCAACGACCTGTATTTGTAAGAAACATAAGTGTCAAACTAATTCTTTTGATCATGATCAGGTGATACAAACCTACACTCGATCTCAACAACATAAAACTTAAGGGTACACTTGGTACTTGGTAGGAGTAAAATGGTAGGCTGGCAATGCAGAGGAAAATTTTAACAAGGTATCTTAAAACAGAACAAGTCTAGATATATCCCCTCATTTCCATTCCTTCATTTGTACATTCACATCTTAATTCCACAAGTGACACCCTACAATAGTCACATAAATACTTTCCCCCCAATACTTGCCTTCATTCTCATCTTCAAAGTCAAAATCAAGGGTGTCTCTAACAGATCTGAAAAACGAAGTGATAGGTCCACCAGGCACGTCATCTAGGGAACCTATGGTAATGCCATCAATCTGAAGCATAACAAAAATGAATCTTTAAAAAAGAAAGACTTTAATATGAGGGAGACACTTTTTGTTGAGATACTTTTTGTGTAAACGACCGCCAATCAATTGTTAGTTGTCATTGTTGAGTTGGAAGGATACGTTGGAAAAAATTTTCCGAAGATGACATGTAGTTGGGCCAATACAAACGAATATAATGTTACATTGAATTGGACTCCAATCAGTTTTTCCCATCTTAATGACATTGAAAAAAAAAACAAGAAGAAAAAGAAGAATGGTGAACGTGATTTTTTTTACTGAATCCAAAGCTGCTTTGAACAACTCAGAGGCCCTTCTTTTTTCTGGTTTATCAGGGAATACCTACAATTAGAACAGAAATGTAATTGTATCTTGTCCAAATAAGAATCAGTATTTATAAACATGTACTTCTTGCGTGGGAAACTGAAGGAAAAAAATGTGTCTTCTTACTATGCAAGCTCTGGTCTCCCTCTTTTCCTGGAGCTTTCTCACAACAGCCAAGGCAAGTTGAATGTTTGCATCATTGTATTCATCTGAAGACCCCTTGAAATATTTAGGAATTTGAGAAAATTATGTGCAGTGTAATCAGGCAAACATGACTACAAAGGTCTAGAAATGAGAACAATGTCTTGAAGCATAAAATCAACATCTAGCCATGAAAATTTATAGATAATTAGATATAAAAAAAACAGAGGAAAAATGTCAAAACAATTGATACAAGGAATCACAATGATATTAAAACAAAAGATGAAAAAGAAACAACCGTAGATAAGGAGAAGTATATAGATCCACAATAACATGAAAGTTGTCATATACCACAAGTTTAAGCATCAAGAATAGTATCAGCCGCCAGACAAGTATAGCATGCACTTATAGCCATGATTCATGAATCCACTCAATCATCCATTAAATGTCGCCCATTAGTTTTAATGAATCTAATGGATACAGTCATATTGGATCCAACTTTTAATTGATCGTTATGGACAAATTATAAATTATAAATTGGATAACATCCACAGATGAGTCCTACATCAATAGGAACACTAACATATTTTACAGTATTCTAAGAATGTCAACTGGTCAAATTTGACCCACTTATTACAATACACCAAATCTGTACAACTGCAACTCCTACTAGATTCAAAGATGGAAAAGAATACAAAGATTGACAGTTCATGACCTGACAAGAGTTATTAACTTAATCAATAATGATTATTGAGAGAAAAGAATGGTACCTTATAAGACGAAATGTTGCTGGGCAGAGGCCTGAAGACATAAGCGCCGGGAGCAAAATCAGGTATAGAAATGATAGCGTATAAAAGCTACAACCAATAATGTCAAAACCTAAGGTACGCCATTTACATATATTCTTCCCACTAAAAAATTACAATCACGTCTAGAACCCACCGAAATAAACTATGCATTGAGAGTGCATTAACACGTAACAGTATGAACATTATAAGTGCATGGTTCCCAAGGAGTCATGACCGGTATGAGCATTATATACATGATTAATTATTTGATTATTTGAATCAGAGTATTTCATCATATATCGCACAACTAGATAGGCATAATATGACTTACACGGCTAAAGAGAAAGAATGCAGATATTGATACCTACCAGTGAGTGGTCAAATGGAGCACAAAAATCATGCAAGCACAACAAAAGATAATGCAAGAAGAAACGTTTATGCAAGATGTGATGATATGCGAACATACAAGATTCACCCATTTTGGCTACTCATATATTCACTAAGAACTCGGAATTACATTTCACTTTTCAACGATATAATGGCAGTTAATTTTGCGTATGCAAAAGTGTTTAACCGTACTGCTTAAAGTTAACCCGTTCACCAAATTTCCTAGCCAGTCAAAATTCTACCAGTGACTGGTCGAACATACTAGGTCAATGAACAAGAACGCAAGAGTTTATCAATTTTTCTTTTCTCCCCCCCCCCCCCGGGGGGTTGAAAAGAGTTTATCAATTCAGTGAGAGTTGAGTACGCCATAAATCTTGCAACAGCCCACCTAACATCCAATGCCCTTTTCCCATCGGTCGAATGGCGAACTTAATAGAACATAGTAAAACACCCACTACCAATCAAGTGAGAGCATTAACAGGGCAGTGCAAGATGCAGAATCCAGAATTACTCAAAATCGAGTATCGAATTGACACTTTTTAAGTTAAGAAAATGCAAACATAAAACTTCAAAGTTTTCTTTTGTCACATAGAAGTTCGAAGTTAAACACAGAAGAAGGGATAATCCAGCAATTGACTCTTCCACAAGTGAGTTACGCTACCAGCTACTAAGTGGGATAAAATGTCTCATTTTCATGTTTTAGAAATATGAAGTTACTGTACACCTAGTTTGAACTCATGCAAACCGAAAGCGGAAACATCAGAGAGTGAGGACTTTACGGGAAATCAATCTCAAGACGAGATTTTCCGTCTTCAAGAGCATAAGCGAGGGAATTCGCAGCATCAGTGACGAGAACTTCATAGGATTTGGGTTTATAAACAGCGACACCAGCCTTGGGATCAAAACCCGGCTTAGTTGAGGCCACATCTCTTTCAGCACATCGGATTGCCGTATTGAGCGGAAATTTGTGGAAACGTTGAGGAACAGAAAAAGCAGAGCGAAGAAAAGTGAAGAGATGGAAGAAGAAGAAGAAGAAAGAAGAGGAGGATGAGAATGAAAAGAGCGAAGAAGTGTGAACTTCGAAGGTGAAGCGAAGGCCATGGAGGAGAGAAGTGCCATCCGCGTCGTGCGGTGGCGCCACAAGGAAGAAGGATAAGGGGGAGAGAATTAAGGGAACATTATTTTGAATTGTCACACAAAATCTAAATTTTCAAAAAGTCCCACGAAGAAATGCACAATTCACAAATAATCATCAATCCCATTAACAAGGATCTCATTGATGAAAGATTTGAGCGTAGATGCATGCCTTGTTACTGGTAAGTCTCATGATTTAGTTCATCTAATTTTTTTATGTGAAAAAAAAATATTCATAGAGGGTTACATAATTATAGAGCGTTTCACTCATGCATAGCATCCTGTTGGAAAATATTGGCAAAATTATACAATGTGATGGAAAAAAAAACATTGTAATTACCAGATATTCCATGAGAAGTCAATCACAACTTTATGCGTAGAATATCACAACAAAATTGATACTACTCACTTATTATTAAGATATTTTTAGTAATTATTCCCTATCCTAAATGTAATACCTATTTTGTAATGTAAATTATACTATATAATGGGTTTTATATTTAGGATAGGAGAAGTATTATATTTGGTCTCTGATCTTTAACATATGAATTATATAATTAATTTGTAAAAATTAAAAAAATTATTTAAGTTAATTATTTATAATAAATAGATATTATTTTTCTTAAAATGTTTCTACTAATAATGTCCATTGAAAATATTTCTTGATGGAAACTCCTTAATATGTACCACTAGCATGTAGATTATTTATGAGCAAAATGAATAAATATCATAAGCAAAGTGAATGGGGATATTATATGTAGGACCTAATTAAATTTTGGGAAAATGACAATAAAATACCATGTGAATTTCAAAAAGACAAATAAGGCACCTGAATAAGCAAAATGACAAAGAAGGTATCAGGTACCAATCTGGAATTTTGATTTTTGATCTAAAGACCGAATTACCCTTATTATGTTTGAAAACTGAGGAGATAGAGAAAGGTAGAAACCGTTTCCTCCCAGCGAAAGCAATCCCCCCACTCGGCGAAAGAGAAACTGCCCCCACTTGGCGAAACCAATCCACCTACTCGGTGAAACTAATCCCTCCCCTCAGTGAAACCGAATCCCACTCGACGAAACCAATCCCTCCACTCAACGAAACTGAATCCCCCCACTCAACGAAACTAAATCCAAGCTCCTCTAGTCACCGAAAAAGGTTCTCCGATTTGCAAGGAGATTTGTATGTAAGGGGATTTGTAAACTATTTTCAGGAAATGTAAAGCTGCCTGATTTTCAAGTATTGTTAAATCATTTGCCCAGAATGTTACTACACGTATAACGAGATTTATAACTCGCGAAGTGAATTTGACCACTTCTTCAAGGGGTTTGACAACCTGTTTTGAGGGGCAGGGCAACTTTTTTCTACAAAAATATAATTCCATGCTGAATTTGACAAAAGACATAGTGAGATTTACAACTTTCACAGTGAGTGTTACTACATTTTCAATGGGATTTGTAGCCTTTTGTGAGGGGCTAGCCAATGTTTCTGTCAAAAACAAAACAATTCCACGCTAAATTTTACAAAACACATAATGGGAATAACAACTTTCACAGTGAGATGTACTACTTTTTCAATGAGTTTTGCAACTTTTTGTGAAGGGATGGGTAACTTTTCTATAAAAAACAAAACAATTTCACGCTGAATTTTACAAAATACATAATGGGAATAACAACTTTCACAGTGAGATTTATTACTTTTTCAATGGATTTTGCAACTTTTTGTGAGGGGCTGGGCAACGTTTCTGTCAAAAACAAAACAATTCTACACTGAATTTTACAAAATACATATTGGGAATAACAACTTTCACAATGATATTTACTACTTCTTCAATGGGCTTTGCAACCTTTTGTGAGGGGCGGGGTAAATTCTCTATAAAAAACAATACAATTTCACGCTGAATTTTACAAAATACATAGTGATATTTACAACTTTCATAGTGAAAATTACTACTTTGTGTAATGTAATGCACCATTCACGAAACAATATTTGTCAAAAACCAGCAGCCATATAACAGCAGATACATTACATATATTCAAATGATTGCATTTGAAGTACATCAAAGTAAACATTGAACCATTAACTTTCATACTAACTACATGTGTAATGGAATGTACCATTCACGTACCAGTATTTACCAAAAACCAGTAGTCATATGACAGCAGATACATTACATATATTCAAATGATTGCACTCTACTCTTGCGACGGTTACCAATTTCACCGACAGCACTTTACTCCTGCAACGGCGACAATGTAATTTCATAAAACCTTTTTCGGTGATTGGAGGAACTTGGATTTAGTTTTGCCGAGTGTGAGGATTGGTTTCTTCAAGTAGGGGGATTCGGTTTCGCCAAATGGGGGGATTGCTTTCGCCAAGAGGAGGTGATTTCTCCCTTTCTCCATCTCCTCAGTTTTCAAACATAATAAGGGCAATTCAGTCATTAGGTCAAAAATCAAAATTCCAGATTGGTACCCAATGCCTTATTTATCATTTTGCTTATTCAGGTGCCTTATTTGTCTTTTGAAATTCACATGGTATTTTACTGTCATTTTCCTTAAATTTTTAACTAACTTTTATATTAAATATCAGAAGAAATATATATATATTTTTGAAAACTACGGTAGTAATTTCCGCAATATGTTTCCAAAGGCACACTACTAGCATGAGGGATTGTGGTAGTTCAAAGCTTCGACACGTTGAACTGAAAGTGGATTAAAGATGTTGTAAAAAATAAATTAAGAATATTTTGATATAATTGAGTATGAAAACATATTTTTTAAAAACAAAAGAATGCATTTTATTAATGAAATCACCAACACACAAAGGCTAGCAAAAAGAAACAGTACAAAAATACATTATCCAATGCCCACTTGCTCACCAGCACTTATCCCTGGATCAAGACTACAGTCACAATCTAAGCCAGCAACATGAGATCTCAAAATCTGTTGGAAATGAGGTGATGCTAAAATCAGCACTCCATTGGAACTTACCCTATTTTTTGCACAAAATGCAATATAATCTGCAGTGCAATTCCCCTTTCTTGCAACAAGGGGAGGTTTGACGTGAGGCTACTGTCCAACAAGCAAAGGATTTTATTGAAGATTTGCACACACTGCCATTCAATCATATCCATATAGTCTTGCCTTTGACAGCTAAAAATAGCTCCTCACAATCAGTCTCTAAATACACCAGAAATAACAGAATTGAGCGACAAATAGAATTGCTTCCTTGAGGACGATGCATTCTGAATGAAAAGGTGAAGAAGCTTTCACTGTCTTGCAAATGCTTCCAAGTACCATGCCTTTATGATCTCTGCACACAATCCCAATCCCTGCACAAATAGGATTCTTCTTAAAAGCTCCATCAGCATTGATGTAAACTGTTCCAGCTGTAGGGGCTCTCCAAAATAATTCCCTTACAACATGATTGTTAGTTCTACATTGAATCTAACCAATCTCAGTAGCTTTGACAGCCCAAATTTCGTTTGCCAGACAAGTAGCTGAAGAAATCACTTTCATGGGATCTACTTGGATCCCTTGGAAAACAAAATCATATCTAGCCTTCCAAATTTCCCAACTCAAAGCAGTAATAAGCGTTCGTCCCTTATCATTAATGCTATTATTGTGCAAAAACATTATCTCAACCCATTTTCTAATACACACACTCTGATTAACATTAATAGTATGAAAACATATTTACTTACGCCAAATTTGAGAATTATTTATGTATGTGATGAGATTTGCACATCTACATATGAAGTACTACTTCTGATCTTAATTATAAAACCTTGTTTGTAGTTTATAAGTAAAATTTTATAATTAAAATCAGAGGTAGTATTACGTACCTAACACCACAACTTACTTAGGTGTAAAAATGCATCAAAAATACCACAACAGATTATTTAAGCAAATGTTCATTACGTCAATTTGAAATCTTTATAAGCACTCTAACATCCAGATTAATATGATGGGATATATTTTTTTATCAATATTCCGTTGATAGATTTTTATTTTAATTCTTTTTTATCTTTAGATTTTTAAGAGAATGATAAAAAAAGATCCTAAAAATTACAAAATTTCAAATTAGATATTTTACAAAAATATGTTGTTATTTATAATTTAATATGTTGTCAAAACTTATTATAAATCTTGATTTGGGATTTTAGAATTTTTAAGGTCTTTTATTACTATTCTCCTCATACTCCTTGTATGGGACTTTGAAAGTAATTTTTTCCCCAGAATTAACACATTTGTGGGGGAAAAACACTTATTATCAATATAAGAACATGAATTTTCCGCCAATAGCTTTGAATTTTCTTCATGTTTTGTTTTGCCAACAGCTTAGATTCTCCTCATGTGAACCCAGAGTAAATGGTGGAATGTTAAATAAAATATCACACGAGAATAATGAATACTCCCTCCAGTCTTAATTATAAGAGCTAGTTGATTAATTTGAGGAAATTAAGGAAAGAAGTTAAGTTAGTTATTTGTAATAAATATGTGTTATCTTTCTTAAAATATCCTTACTAATCAAGTGTATTCACTAAAACTATAATTATTAAAAGGATTATCTTAGAAAAAAATTGAATAAATATGAGAAACAAAATGAATCGGGGTCTTATATTTAGGACCAACATAAAAGTCAAATACAGTCTTATATTAAGGATTAGAGGTAGTATTTATTAATCATTTTATCAATTTTTGTAAGGAAAGACTTACAAATGATATTAGTCTAACTTTTATTTCTTAAATTAGTATTAGATTTTCAAATTTTTTTAAATTTATAGGTTACTTCCCTACTGATGGTCTATCTCAAATGTTTTTACCGTTCTTACTTGTATTCATATCGCGTTCCAATAAAAAGTTTACAGATGTATTCAAGAATTGATAAAAAAAGATGAAGTAGAAATATAACCAACAAAATGACACTTGTTTTAAATCTAAAGGCATGCTTCATACTCAGAAACGAAAAGTAGGATGTAAAAACGACGATTTTAAAAATGATTTTGTGGGTAAAATGTTTACATATATAAAATGATTGTTTGGTTTCTTATATGTATATACATACACACACGCACGACAACAACAAAGCTAGAAACCAATCAACAAAACATATGAAAAAACGTTCAACCCAATTTCTGTGAACAATTAATTTAGCATCATCAATGATATCTCTAGATTGGTGTCAAAGGTTATATTTTTCAAATCTTTAGACCAATAAATGGATAAACCATTTAGAATTCTTGGAAGTTCAGCAATGGCTAGAAAATGCTCCCATCTATCTTAAAAAGTCTTTAAATAAAAACCACCATATCTAATATCTTTATTTGGCAGGGCAGAACCATCCGCTTCTAAGGTGAAGTACATTTTTTTATGATGTTGGATCTGTTTCTCTCAAGTACTAACCTCTCGGAACAAATGACAGTTTGCAAGTAGATCCTGGGCAATGCAATCTTAAAATAAAAAGATATTTGGGTATTATAAAAAATATTTTTTAAAAGTACTTTTCTGCAAATCGATATAAATTCCTTCACATATTTATTTTATATAATATAAAATTATTTTTAAAATAATAATTTTGATTCCGTTTAAACACCCCTAAACTATCATGGAATTTCCAAATTTTATTTTAAATTAAAATTTTATTTTTGAAAATTTAAGTGATGAGCAGTAGGCGAGATATTGATGATGTATAATATAATTTATGTTTTTGCAAAATTGAGGCTTGTATGGCTTATGTTTGAGAATTAAAATTTACATATAATTTATAATTTGAAGAAAAATATTAAAGTAATAAAAATAAAAGAGTAAATATATTATTGAAAAAATATTTATAAATACTAGAAAACCTGTTTAATCGTATACATGATATATAATTAAACGTATTTAATAAATAAATAAATCTACGTATAAATTTAAAACTGAAATTCTGAAATGTTTATACCCAACTATTTGTAAATGAAAAGCTAGAAGTTACTAGAAGTGAAATAAAGGGACATTGCTATTTATTTAATAATTTTTGGGCGACATTGATCTAAGAAAACTTTTGAAATGTGGACTACTTCACTTTTTTTTTTTTTAATGATCCACTACTTCACAAATACTTATAGGATAAAAATAACATTTAATCCTTTAAAATTTAGTCTCACTTTATTTTAATGAAATTTGGATCTTGTTAAAAAAACTTCAACTCCTTGCTTAACCCCATTAAATTACAATTTTGCTCAAATGTATCAACTAAGAAGGCTGAAGGCCTCAAATGAAATGATCCAAATTTTATTTTATCGTGATATAAAAGTTAAATAATTAAGAAAAGCAAGGGCTTATAATGTTTTTGATAGAAGACTTATATTTTCCATTTATAATTTATAATTATGATTCTACATAAAAAAATTAAGTTAAAAAATTATAAGTTAAATTACACTTTTAGTCTATTAAATTTATATCAAGTTTCAGTTTAGTTTTTTAAATTTTGCATTTTTAGTTTAACTTTACTAACGAAAAATGCTGACCAAACAGTTTGAAAATGACAACTCAGCATTTCAATGTTGACATATTAATTTTTAATTTAAAATATGTAAATTAAAAAAAATTCAGGATAAAAACTTATTTTTGTTTTAAAAAAACCTAGGTCAAGTTCCTTATATCTATTATGTCAAGTTCTCCAATCACATGTGACTATATGTCCTTTCTATTTTATGTGAATTTATAATTAAATGTTATTAAATGTTAATATTTTAAAAATAGAATACATGATTATGTGTGATTGGAAAACTTAACATAATGGATATAAGCAACTTGATATAAGGATTGTTCCTTTGATCAATCATTTCTATGCAGTTTAATAATTACGAAATAAACAATGTTATTTCCTTACTTCTATTATTGGAAACATTTCTATTAACCTTTGCAATTTATGTTGAAACATTTAAAAAATTATAATTATTTTAAGGATCATCCGTATTATTAACTTTTATACTAGATCTAATATCATACTTTAAAAAGCTGATCCTTAAAAAAATTAAAAAGTTACAATTTAAAATGTTTTAAAAATTATTACTTTTATGAAAATTTATGAGTAGATCTGCAGAACCATATTAGAAAATTCATCCATTGAAAATAATTATGTTTGACAGCATCTTTAATTAGATTTTATTTTAAATATTTTTAATTTACATATTTTAAAATAAAAATTAATGTGTCAGTATTTAAATGCTGAGTTATTACTATTTTGAAAAGCCGAGTTAGTTAGTGAGATAAACCATATGTTAAGTTTAATGGGCTAAAAATAGATTTTTGTTTTTTGTTTTTTTTTTTGTTTTGGCAAGAAGAAGTATTCATTCATCCAAAGTAAACAAGATTACAATCACCAATCTCAAAGAAACTTACCAACAAGGACAACAAACTTCAATCCTAAAACTGCAAATAAACTCATTAAAACA